GGTCTCCACCGACTATGATATCAGAGTGATGAGTGACCCAATGTGGACCGAGCTATCATCAAAAAATTTCCATATAATGTTGTTAAAGACATTCTGTCGCTGTAGCAAGAAAACCAAGACATCACAATAAGAGAACTTTTGTAACTGCTGGAGAAAGAAATCTCCTCAAAACTGTTCTTGAAGCTCAGTAGGGTTTCAACAATGAAATAGAAAGAAAAAAACCAGCATTTAGTTGTGCGTTTTGTAGTCACACAAATCACACCTCCGCTTCGTGCAAAACTGTGGCAGACGTCCAGAAACAAAGGGAGATAGCCAAAAGCAAAAGGTTATGCTGGAGATGCCTGCAAAACAGACATTCCAGCATTCAATGTAACAAACCTGACTCCCACTCCTGTGGTCAGAAACACCATCCCAGCATGTGTCTGGGGCGAAATCCTCCAGCCACTAATCGAGCGTGGCAACCAGAAGACAACGAAGAAATGAAACTGCAAATCCACCCGTACAGCAAAGACGCGGGCAAAATTCAAGTGATAACAGGGTCAACAACCGCAATACTGATGATGGACGTAGAATGCAACAGACCAGCACACAGTTAGTGCAGGCAGAACAGGAAGTCCACCGCTCTTCAGAATCAATCATCCCAATTAAAATTCGTGAACAATTGATAATTACGACAGCTGAGGGAAACCTCTTCAACTATTGTAAACAAAAATTCGAGAAAATTCTCTTCTTCTTTGATACTGGAGCCCAAAAAACCATCATAGAAGAAAATATTGCTCAGGAATTTGGATTGCCTAAGCTATCTAGTGAGACATGTGTTATGTCAGGCATCGGAGGTCACATAGAAAAATTTGAAAGTGCCACGGTACCTTTGAAAATTTGCTCGGTGTATGGTAAAGAGATCAGTTTGACGGTGCAAACTAATGTCATAACAAGCGGTTTCCCGTCAGTTAACCTTACTCAAACAGATGCCGATTTTCTTGAACTCCACGAAATCTGCTCAGCAAACTCTAAACTGCAAGGTGAGCGACAAATGCCAAAGATTTTAGTAGGTCTCGACCGATACCACGATTTGGTAATAGAGGAGGATTCCACCAAAAAACTACCTTCCGGTTTAAGAATCGCAAAAACTATGTTTGGACCAGCAATTTATTGTCGCGGAAAACTTGAGTCTTCCGAAAGTGTGCCGAACATCTCCTAGGCCCATCCATATACGAAAACAGAAAACCAAATTCTCACAAAACTTATTGAACTGGAAGGTCTCGGAATCACACCCGAAGAATGCGTGAAAGACGAAAAGATTTAAAAATACTTTAAAGAGTACTCCAAAAAGATTTTATTTGAAAAAGGCTACGTCAAAGCACCATTTCCGTTGAAAGATACGGCTACTCATCAAGACAACTAGTCTGTCGCCATAAAAAGACTAGCATCACTGCAAAACACACTTAAATCAAGAAAAAGCCAATCCTTTTGGTACTCCAAAATCCTGAACGATTACGAAAACCAGGACATCATTGAGCGAGTTTACGAT